CAACACAACACAACACAACACAACACAACACAACACAACACAACACAACACAACACAACACAACACAACACAACACAACACAACACAACACAACACAACACAACACAACACAACACAACACAACACAACACAACACAACGCAACGCAACGCAACACAACACAACACAACACAAAACTATAAAACAAAACGCAATAGAAAACAATACAACACATCGCAACACAACATGACATGTCATTTTTCAAATTTGATATTTTTCTTTTTCCCTTTTTTGTATCTACATTTGCCTCTGCCGATTTTTTCATTTGGTATTTTATCACTTCTTTGACTTTAATTCAGATCTTTATATGTATTATTTTTTTTTATCTAAATATTCACCCTCACCTTCGGGTTGTAGGTGTTCTTTCATGCAAATTTTAAAAATTCTTAGAAATCACCGTAATTTCTAGCCATTAGAAACTTGTACTTTATTCTACTATAATTCAATGGGCTGCAAAGTTGCATACTCAGAATATAATTAAAAACTTGAATTTTTACGAAAATTTGTTGAATTTTTTGGTTTTTAATTCCATAAATTTGTAAGGCAGTGTCACTCGATTGGTACATTTGTACAGATTTGTGCATTTTTATATAGAGCTATTGGTATAAAATAAAAAATTGGGACAATTTTCTTTTGTAGTCAAAAGATTGGTATAATACAGCAATCTTCTATTGAAGAATTTCAACAAATTATTTTTCGTGATTAGAATAAAAAAGAAAAATATGTGTGTATTCACACGATTGGGATCCGGTTTGCACAAAATTTCGGCAAATACCCAATCGTGTTACACTGTCTTTAAACTTATATTTATGTTGTTAAAGAATGAACTATAAAAAACTAATCAATATCAAATCAAACAAAATACGTGCAGAAATTTCAAAATTTCTACCTTGTTTGTGTGAAATATTTAATTTTTATCAGTATTTTTCTTTTAATCAATATGTATATGTTGAAATAAAAGTAAAAAAAAAAAATATTTTGTCAGTATAGTTTAGCCGTAAAAGGGTGCAAACGAAACATTATTGCCTATTTATATATAAGATTTAATTTGGTTTAATTTGATTTAATTTGATTTAATTTTATTTTATTTAAATGTTTTCTTATTTTATTACTTTTGATTTGTGCTACGTATTATTAAATTTTTTTAAATCTTATTTCATTTTATTATAATTTATTTTGTGTTTACCAAGTGGAATGTATACAGCTGAGGCTCTTTGGCTATCGCCATGCCCATTACTACTTTCATAAAGTAAAGCCTACACTAGACGCCTACTTCAAAAGCTACACCCATTAGCTTGCACTGCAATGCTGCGTGCCCTGTCAATTTTCCAAATTTCTGTTATTGTTGTCAGTTTTCATCATCGCGGATTGCAAAACCCTACTTTTCATGTCCAACAACACTACTAAGACAACCGCTAATTATTTGTATTATTACATTTCTTAATGGACTTGTAATAGCTGTTATGGGACGGAGACCAACTGTGGCAAGATGCAGTTGCATGTTGCATGCTGCACAGTTAACTATAGTGTATACTTTGGACGTGCTGCGCATCAGGCGTGACGGAGACGTTTGCCTTTTTTATAATTTAATCAGCGCGCTTGCAGACTTTTCGTCGCGCCTTCGTTGTGGTTTAGTTGAACTAATTTCGGCTTTCCCTTTCTATGAGCTTTGCACAGCAGCTGCGAAATTTGATTGAATGAAAGTTAAAATTTTATTTTAAGTGAAGTGAAAACTTTATTTAAAAAAATGCAGCTTGCCATAAAAATGTTTAAGACTGCCGCAGCGCAAGTTTTTTTTATGAAAATCGAGCATACTGCTCTTAGTCTCGCAGAACATTTTAATTACTTCCAAATCTCCGGTATTCTGACTTAAATATTTGCCCTTTATTGCATTTCTGTCCTCCGCTAGCGCCCATTTAGTTGAAGTGAAAATAAATTGTAAGTGACTTTTTCGCTACACACAAGCGTTGATAAGAATCGCATCGAACAAATGAAAGCAAGGGGAAAACGAAGCCAAAAAATTGCACTACTGAGCACTCGTTATTGGTTACAGCTAAAAGGGTAAGCTGGGCTGATGCATATCAACGCAGATGAAGCTAACCAATTTATTCTTGGCTATCATCACCGGCCCTGCGGCGAGCAGTGGCACCGCCATTTGGTTGCTTTTTACGGCGTGTGTGCGATTGATTGAGCACTTTAAACTGTTCGGCTATGTATGTAGAGTTGCCAGTAAAGAATGTCATTGGGTATAGAAGAGTTGCCTAAATTTAAATTGAATAAATATGAGCAAATCTCACGAGTTATATACCTTATATATTTATGCATTCTTCTTGCATTAATTTCAATCAAGCGAGTTCCAGAAACAAATACAATAAAAAAATAAATCAAGTATTTGAACAATTTTAGCCTTAAAACGTTTATTTAGACGAAATTATTCATTTTTTCATTTTCACTCGAAAACATCATAATTTTTTTCATACATGGGCAAATCTAAAAAACAGGTAACTTTCAAAAAAAAATTAAATTTTTAAATTTGTGAGCACACCTATGTTTTATATTCGCAATCTCTTACTAAATTGATTAGTATAAGTGTAATTCATTTTCATCAAGTGCTTCAAGAGTTTGACGAGGAATAAACATGAAATTAAAAACAAAAGAATAAGCTGGGTTCAAATTACACTGATCAAGTTGTAAAATTTGAGCTATGATTTCGAAAGTTTAACTCACTTAATTGGGTCGTTCTAAAATCAATGGCATGCACCGTTTTACCAGATTGGCTCCGGTTTTCAAAATAACGGTACTTGAATATTTGCTTAAATTTTAACTATTTTATAAATAACTCCCTCAGTTTTGAAGTTATTTTACTAATATTACCTTAATTATTCCTTAAAATTATCGAAGTACGTTATTTTTAAATTAATTAAACACACATAATTCAAAAGTTATGCAGCAAATTGATCAAAATTTTTGTTTAGGCGTCAAGTATGCGTCAATGAATTATATCCAAAAGAAACCGGCTTGATGAAGTTTACAACTGTGAAAATAAAGCTAAATAACACAAAGGTTAACCGTTTTTTTAGATTTGCCCTTATGGATGCTCTTCCTAAATTTCATTTTAAAAATTTGATAGAAGTCGCTAAATTCAGGTACTGGTGGTAGGAGAAAAAATCTGTTATCAAGTACCATTATTCTTTGAGCTTTTTGACTAAGTATTTGGCAACTCTGCCTCTACTGCACAGCCCAGCAAGCCCTGAGATTGTATAGATATCGCTGCAATGTTTTTT